GGGCGGCAAGCCACTCCCATCCGGTCACATGGGTGGCAAGCCACTCCCACAAAGGAGGCCACGCCCACAGAGTAGGTTCGAACAATTTTTGAAACTCACCACTGATAATAAGGTAATCTGAATGTATCTGAACTCAGGACAACCATTATCACTGTGTATCGTGAGACAGAAAGGCAAATGATCCAAGTTGTAAAGTTAGTTTTCTAATTTTCTATTCAGCAAATTTCCACAGCAAATACATTATGTACTTTCAGAAGGAAAGAAAGGGGGGCTACCTGCAGCAATTGACTGTATATGCATCCCCACGTTTTCCTCCGAGTAAAAATTCAGAGCCTTAGAGGGCAAGGAATCTTTTCATTTTCCCTGCAGTTGTATATCTTGACACCTCCGCACAAATAAAAGGATAATTTATGGCTGCATAAATTGTGAAATTTGAGGAAAGCAAATTTAAAGGTCATTTTTGTTCCCGGTACCACGTTTTAAACTTCTTTGGATTCTTAACTGGATTTAAAATAATGCAACCTCTAACATACTCACAAATAAAAGTCAAAGCAAGACAATATATAAATATGCATGAAATTATTGAGACAGCCAAGAATATTAAGCATGGCTTCGTTGCTTCAGAGTCTCTCATATTTCAAGGCCACATAATATAATTCATGCAGATAAGTATTTTGCCTTTTCTTACTCTGAAGTAAGGCTTAAATTAAAGATTACAGCCTGATTAATTTAACAAGGGTGGGACTTTTGGGGTGGGTGGGTTATATTTTTGTTTACTATCTGTATATATTCCTCTTGGTCTGTAAAATGATATCATGGTATAATGAAAGCAGGGATATTAGAAAATTGCAGCCCGGTATTGGGGAAGAGCTGTTAAGAATCTCTTATCAGTTTATAGATACCAATAATGCCTGGACATCATATTTCTAGCCTTCAAGTTATATTTTATCTGGCTTGCCATAATTAGAACTAGTGCTGTTCCTTTTACCTAAATGTTTATGCAGCTAAAGACAAATTTGTGTAGTTGGAAGTTCTGTAGTTATGGAAATGACCAATATAATGTTCATTTGAAACAAATGTGACATACTGATACTGGGTTTTATAGAGGGAAAAGGCACATTTTTGACCAACTCCATGGATGAAATTTATGATATTCAATCTGCCATAAATAAGACCCAAATTTTATTTTCTATCTTGGGCATCCAGTAGCTCATTCCTATCATTTATACCCTCTATGTATATTGTTTTGTTTCAACCAGAGAAACTTTAATATCACAACTGGAAAGTATATGTACAGAGCAGCAAAAATTGTTCGAACGTACTCTGTGGGTGTGGCCTCCTTTGTGGGAGTGGCTTGCCGCCCATGTGACCGGATGGGAGTCTTGCCGCCCATGTGACTGGATATGAAGATGCCGACGACACTTGTCAGAACCACCTTAAATTACCTCACACACAGCACTGGCATGCATAAGAATANAGGTGGGTAAAATGAGGACTTGGATTGTTGGGGGCGATATGCTGACTCTGTAAACCGCTCAGAGAGGGCTGAAAGCCCTATAAAGCGGTATATAAGTCTAACTGCTATTGCTATTGCTATTGGTCATGCTGAAGTGTGCTTCCAGACCTCTCTCTTTCTTTACCTTGCAAGGGATAAAATGTTCAGCAAGAATTTTTAGGATGGGAACACAGGTAAAACTGATCCTAAGAGGAAAGATGATTTGAGGACTTGTAGTACCAAGCCATGGAGGGCTTTAAAGATTAAAAATCAGAACTCTGAATCAGGCACTATTGAAAGCAATACTACATAGAAGACTACTTTTATTATAACTGATAAATTAAATTATGGATGAGTAGGATAACAGCTATCCTATTATAATCTGTTTATTAAATCTCTGCACAGCATCCACTGTCATTACTGCCTCATTCTAGCAATAAGACAAGATAGAGCTATATTTATTTTGCAGGGAACTAAATGCTGCAGTCATACAAGTAGCTGATACCATGGTTCAAAGATACCATGCTAACTCTCAGTGTTTACCATGGATGAACAATAAAAGGAAGTTTTTTTTTTACATTGTCCTCTGTACCCATAGAAACTAAGGCCAATGGGAATACAGTATATTGTTGGACAGTTCATTATGTCTTCTTGGATGCTTTGTGCCCATAATTGATGTGGTAGTACTTGCCTGGAATGGAATGTCAACACCAGTTCATTCTGGTATTAACATCTTTTTGTGAAAACATCTTATTGAACTTATTATTAGACTTATCACTATGCTCACACAGATTACTTTTTCGTGCAGCACAGCAGTGGTGGGTTTCAAAAATTGTTCGAACCTACTCTGTGGGTGTGGCCTCCTTTGTGGGAGTGGCTTGCGGCCCATGTGACCGGGAGTGGCTTGCCGCCCATGTGACCGGATATGAAGATGCCTACGACACTTGTCAGAACCGCCTTAAATTACCTCACTCACAGCACTGGCATGCATAAGAATAGTATGTAAACTTGTTTTTTAAAAGGCATCTTTGGTTTGCGTTAAAACAACTTCAACACACGCAATGTTCTGATTGCACCACAAACGCAGTAGTCATCCTTACCTTTCACAGAGGCACTGAGTTTTATAAATATGAGCATGATAGTGTAGAATAATCATATCCAAGGACCAGTGGTGGGTTTCAAAAATTGTTCGAACCTACTCTGTGGGTGTGGCCTCCTTTGTGGGAGTGGCTTGCCGCCCATGTGACCGGATGGGAGTCTTGCCGCCCATGTGACCGGATATGAAGATGCCGACGACACTTGTCAGAACCACCTTAAATTACCTCACACACAGCACTGGCATGCATAAGAATAGTATGTAAACTTGTTTTTTAAAAGGCATCTTTGGTTTGCGTTAAAACAACTTCAACACACGCAATGTTCTGATTGCACCACAAACGCAGTAGTCATCCTTACCTTTCACAGGGGCACTGAGTTTTATAAATATGAGCATGATAGTGTAGAATAATCATATCCAAGGACCAGTGGTGGGTTTCAAAAAATGTTGGAACCTCTTCTGTAGGTTTGGCCTGCTTTCCGGGTCCACTGGTGGAACCTCTTCTAACCGGTTCGGTAGATTTGTTGAACCGCTTCTACCGAATAGGTGTGAACTGGTAGGAACCCACCTCTGGTACAGAGACAGCCCAAGAAAGTTGACACTAAATGAGGATCTGTCTGCTATGTCTACTGTTCTGTCCTGCTAAGTACTCTCCTATACCCACTTTTTCCCTAGTAGCAGCAGCACCACTAATATGTAGCTGGCCACCATCCCAAAGATGTCAATGAGGGGTTCATCAGTTCTGATGCCACAATTCATTACTCCAATGACTCATATGGAGTGAGCCTCATACCACAACCAAAAAGCCTATATTTCTCTTTGCTTTGGGGGCACTGAAGCAACAGCTCTGGTAAGGCACATGGGACACTTCACTGGCCAACCCGATTGGTCGCTCAGAGAAGATTCTTGGTTTCACCCCAATAGTTGGTATAGCATTGTCATGCAGTTTTCAATACAAAGCATAAAGTGGGGGAAAATAATAAAATTATTGTAAAATTATTGATAAAGATAGTTGTTGCTAAGCTTTGTATTCTGAAACAACGGATATGAATTAATACTTTTAATCAAAGCGCAACAGAAATATTTAATTTCAGATTATTAGAATCTCCTGCTGTATGATTTTTATATGGTTGAAATAACATTAAATGATTTCTCTATTCATATTGTAATAAATTTAAATGGAAAATTAGGCACACAGAACATTTATAGGATAATTATTATTTTTTTCCTCTTTATTTTTGTAAGCCGCCCGGAGTCCTTCGGGATTGGGCGGCATATAAATGTGTCTAATAAATAAATAAATAAATAAATAAAATAATTATAGATAGTATTACATCTTACAGTATGCTTTAAAATTTGTTAACCCTTTTGAATTTTCAGAATTTTTGCATAAATATAATTTAAAACTAGATAGAGAACCGAATTAAACACATTTGAAATATTTGACTCTAATTTCCCTTTCAAATGAACTGATAATCACACTTTGTTATATGTAGCATTTTTCTCAATAAAGATATAAAAAAATATGCTTTTGGCCTAAGTTTACCAAACTTGTGAACTATATCAGAGCTCTGTATTACTCAATTACTGTTCATTTCATAATGACCAATTTATTGCCTTAAGGTACAATAAGCTGCACTTTACATTTAGGTTACATGTGTAATAATTCAAGAAATAATGCTGGAAGCACAAAGGCTATGAATGTTACAACAGCAATCTGTCTTCCCTGACAATAAAATGTGTTGATTGGATCACTTTTAAAATTTAACAATTATATCATCTTCTTGCTTATTGCATGTGACTCCAGCATTCCCTTATGGACAATATGTATCATTGGAATAGAGAAAATCTAATAAAAACATTGTGCCAGGCATGTACCGTCCACAATATGTAAATCATGCTTAGGCAATTTGATTTATATTGTCAATATATTAACAAACTGTTTCCTGAATATCAAGTAAGAGCCAAGGTGGCGCAGTGGTTAGGGTGCAGTACTGCAGGCCACTTCAGCTGACTGTTATCTGCAGTTCAGCGGTTCAAATCTCACCAGCTCAAGGTTGACTCAGCCTTCCATCCTTCCGAGGTGGGTGAAATGAGGACCCAGACTGTGGGGGCGATATGCTGACTCTGTAAACCGCTTAGAGAGGGATGAAAGCCCTATGAAGCAGTATATAAGTCTAACTGCTATTGCTATTGCTAAGTAATACTTACTTCCTATGTGCCTAAATGCAGGTACAAAACTGACAATCCAATGAAAAGTTAAAATTAGGTTTCATTCCTCCATTCCACTTAAAACAGTGAAGAAGCAATTCTTTTAACTATATAATGTTTTTATATTTTCAGGCTTTCATATCGGACTGGTCAAGACACATCCAATTGTGACACATGTAGGAATAGTGCGTGCATAATCTATAGGTAAGTAACTTCTCACATTTCCCCTTTTCAAATCGGATAAAATGATTTTACTCAGTAATAGAACCTGCATGCAAGCCACTGTTTTAAATTGGTATTTCAGCATGAATGCTCTTAAGAACAGGAAATTAATGTTTACTGTACTATAAAGCCAATTTATGAGGTATTTAAATACTGGAAAGAAGAGAAATGAGATGATGATAGTGGTGTGCATTAACTTGTACAATCATAGAGTAGAAATTTGTAGCAAGTACTTCATCAAAATAACTTTTTTTCATTTAAATAACATTGATGTCTACAATAAAAAAATTTGAAAACATGTAACAGTGGAAATTATGGCTACGCTGAATATTACTTTTTTAAAAAGGTACACAGCATATACTTAGCAATAGCAGTTAGACTTATATACCGCTTCATAGGGCTTTCAGCCCTCTCTAAGCGGTTTACAGAGTCAGCATATTGCCCCCAACAACAATCCGGGTCCTCATTTTACCCACCTCGGAAGGATGGAAGGCTGAGTCAACCCTGAGCCGGTGAGATTTGAACCGCCGAACTGCAGAACTAGCAGTCAGCTGAAGTAGCCTGCAGTGCTGCATTTAACCACTGCACCACCTCGGCTCCATTATACTTGCAATGTATATAGCCTGGAAATGGAATGTCTTAAATGAATGTACACAGAACTGGTCAAAAAAGTTCTAGAAGCATATTCCCCATGGTCACGCAATTACCATTTGGGACTTTCACAGCTTCTGGCAAGCAAAGTCAATGGGAGAAGGTCACAAAAGGTGTCCATGTGATGTCATGCTTAATGACATTGCAGGATTCGCTTAATGAGAGCCATCACTAAGCAGCACTGTCCTGTGACATTGTGCTTCAAAACTGTGTTATTCAGCAACAAATTCTGATCCCAATTTACATAGTTAACTGACGACTACCTGTAATAGATTTATGTATTGACATGCCTTTGTAAATCTCTAGAAATCGGAAAAGTAGCAAGCTGGTAGAAGCATAGATTTTAAGTATTCTTCGCAAAAGTAGAATAAGTGGATAAATGTACATACTGTATATTTTGGAGTATAAGACGCACTCCCCCCCCCTAAAAGAGGCTGAAAATTTTGATGCGTCTTATACTCCAAATGTACCTCTGCTCATCCACCGGCCCCCACCTTTCGGCCTCTGCACATCTACTTCCTGGCTGCAGAGATCGCCACAGACAATGGCTTTTGTTTTTGGGTTCCGCGCATTGCGTTTTCAGCCTCCAAACACTCCATTTGAAACCGATTCAAGGCTGCTGGAATTACCAGAGCACATCGCCACCTCTGCGCATTGCATTTTCGGCCTCTGCACATTTCGGCCCCGTTTTTGACCTCTGTGTGTCGTATTTTGGGGCATCAATTGGCAGCAATGTGCTTTGGCGATCCCCACAGCCTTGAATGGGTCTGAAACGGAGTGTTTGGAGGTTGAAAACGCAAGGCATGGAGGCCTATATTCTGGAACAGCTGCTGCCTTGTCTTACCGCTTCCGCGCTTCACCTGCTTTACTAACCGGAGTAGCATTTATATCAACTTATAGCAGTATATTGTTACGTTTTATCATCTTTATAATGACGAGAATGCTGCACATTATATTTTTTAAACAGTCTTCTGGAATAATTAGTGACTAAAATTTGTTATATTTGTTATATTAACTGGGGAAACCTAAGCAGTAGTTGTTGCCAGAAATAATGTAGGATGTTTTAGGATACAAGGACTACATTTCTAAGCATTTTTGTGCCACATCTTTTGCTGTCTGTTTGCATACTCCATCAAGCATAAATTGGTGCAGTATCGATTGAGCTGCAGAGTCTAATGCCATCTTATTCATTCTCCTGTGTAATGCATGCCATTAATGAGATGAGGTGTTTGACTTCAAAAGTTCTTAAGGAATAAATTGGCTTTAGGTGAATTTTACTCCATACTTTTCAATTGGGTATAAGCAACGAATGTTTTGGACTATACAATTGTGCTTTAGCAATTAAGTTTTGCATAAATGTTTTTTAACTGATACAAGCTAAATACTGTGATTGTAAGAATCCTGAAATATTGTGCATGGAAAGCCATACAGATAATCCTTGTGTTACAATGCCAGTTGAGACTGGATGTGTCATTGCTAAGTGGCAGTTATAAAATACATCATGGGTCCACATTGTTTGGCAATAACAATGATTGCTAAAACCAAGTTCTGGTTGCTAAAACCAAGATGTGCCGTTCATTATGCAGGAAGTGGCGGAAGTCCCAAATAATGAGCTCAGAGGGGGGGTAACACGGAGTGGGGGAGGACCTGGAAAATTGGTGCAGGCTATCTGAGCACAAGAAAGCCAAGAAAGTGAATGGCGTAGCTGGACACAAGTCCAGAAATCCTGGGGGTGGATGGCACAGCAGGGCATGAGCATTAGAAGTATGGGGTATATAGCAATAGCAATAGCAGTTAGACTTATATACCGCTTCATAGGGCTTTCAGCCCTCTCTAAGCGGTTTACAGAGTCAGCATATTGCCCC